CTACAATTAGCAGACATGCACTATCGTTCATCAGTTTGACTCCTACTAATCTGAGCATAGCTTGACTGACAGAATACGATAGGCTTTGTGACTGAATTCTTGACATAGAGTAACAGGTCTGAATTTCTTTGAACACGAAACACCGGGGCCATGCAAAAGGAGATGAGTATGAGCAGATAAAGCTTGGTCTGAACAGGCCTTTCCAGCAGTGATGGATCCATTTTCTTTTTTTACAGTTACTCACTGTGGATATAGTGTCTGATAAATGATTAAATGTAAATGTAATCACTGATCCTGAAAACACTGGGTAATTGTAAACAGTTAACAAAATTCTTGATTTGATTAAGTAATAAAATGTATCTCTTACACATTATCACTCAACACCAATTAATTTTAATTAAAAGTGATATGTATATCTGTCTTCTGTCATCATTTACCCAACCTTTTCTATCTTCTTTTTTTCTTTTCGAACACAGACGATATTCGAAAGCTGTAACCATTGACTTTATTAAGATTTGTATTTCATGATATGAAAGGCAATGCTTACAGAAACACGTAAAGGTTCAAAACCACTTAAGAGAGTAAATAATATTTTTAAAATTTTAAATCAACTATCTCTTTAACACCTATTATTAGATTAAAATGACAGTTTAACTAAAATGGAAATGTACTATTTATTTTTACCCTCTGAACTTCTCAAAAGTTTTAAATTACCTTCTTTATCTCTCTCTCTCTCTCTCTCTCCCCCCCTCTCTCTCTCTCTCTCTCTCTCTCTCTCTCTCTCTCTCTCTCTCTCTCTCTCTCTCTCTCTCTCTCTCTCTTCAGTAGAGCAATAATGTGGATCATTGGCAATTCATGTAATCCTATGCCAACCATGACTATAGGAGGAAAAAGGTATGCAGGAAAAAGAAAATAAACATCCATGGTTCCTCATGAATCATTTAGGTCTTGTGAAGCAAAATGGAATCGACTGAACATTATGACCTGTAATAAACACAAAATTCCCACTTTCGAGGAGTTGACACTTCAGAGAAAGATTTCACCTTTATCTCTTTCGTATTGTTTGAATTAATTGCCTAAAAGCAGCTGAATGTTTAATTGTTTTCAAGATACAACATGCATTATTATTGCTTATTTATTGTTGGATGATTGATTGTTAGACAAACCGGGACCTAAAATGCAATTTTGATTGTTTCTGTTATTCTCATTTCTAAGTAGTTTTGCATAAAACTTAAACAAATAAATTATATTCTAAAGGTAAATATATACCTATAATTATGAACTAATTAGTTTCCATCAGCTAACTTTTTTAACATAAACCAAATGAACACTTTAATTTTGCACGTCTTTGCTTAATTCTCTGCATTTTCTAGCACAGACCAAATGTTTAGCTTTATTTAACCTCAATGTGTAATTTGAATCCTCAGATATGTATTTTTTGTTCCTGGATATGGTTTCTTGATTCTCATATGATCATCACCGTTGAGATATCCTTTTAGCATTATCAAAGCAAAAATATATTCACAGTGCATCCAGAAAGTATTCATAGCGCTTCACTTTCTCAACATTTTTTTATGTTACAGCCTTATTCCAAAATGGATTAAATTAATTTATTTTCTCAAAATTCTACACTCAATACCCCATAATGAAAATGTAAAAAAACATGATTTTTTGAAAATGTTGCAAATTTATTACAAATAAAAAAAATAAAATAAAAAAAAAATCACATGTACATTGGTATTTACAGCCTTTGCCGTGAACCTCTAAATTGAGCTCAGGTACATTCTGTTTCCACTGATCATTCTTGAGATGTATCATATATTGTATATATATATATATATATATATTTCCCAGAGATGGGTTGCGGCTGGAAAGGCATCCGCTGCGTAAAAACTTGCTGGATAAGTTGGCGGTTCATTCCGCTGTGGTGACCCTGGGTTAATAAAGGGACTAAGCCGACAAGAAAATGAATGAATGAATGAATATATATATAGACAGAATTTTCTCGAGGCACAAGGCTGGGGAAAGTTACATAAACATTTCTGCTGCTTTGATAGAGGCACAGTGGCCTGCATCATCCGTAAGTGGAAGATGTTTGGAACCACCAGGACTCTACCTAGAGCTGGCCGGCCATCTAAGCTGAGTGATCGGGGGAGAAGGGCCTTAGTCAGGGAGTTGATAAATTACCTGATGGTCACTCTGGTTGAGCTCCTGCTTTCTTATGTGGAGAGAGGAGAACCTTACAGAAGGACAACCATCTGTGCAGCAATCCAACAATCAGGCCTGTATGACAGATTATCCAGACGGAAGCCAATCCCCACCTAAAATTTACCAAAAAACATCTGAAGGACTCTCAAACCACAAGAAAGAAAATTCCCTGGTCTCTGAGCTCTTTGAACTCTTTGGAGTGAATGTCAGGCGTTACATTTGGAGAAAACGCTCATCAACGGTTCATGTTTTAGCAGGAGAATGACCCTAAGCACACTGCCAAAACATCAATGGAGTGGCTACACAACAACACCGTGAATGTCCTTGAGTGGCCCAGCCAGAGCCCAGACCTAAATCCTGTTGAACATCTCTGGAGAGATCTGAAAATGGCTGTACACCATCACTTTCCATCCAATTTGATAGAGCTTTAGAAGTACTGCAAAGAGGAATGGGCAAACATTTCCAAAGATAGTTGTGCCAAGCTTGTGGCATCATATTCAAAAAGACTTGAGACTGTAATTGCTGCCAAAGGTGCATCAACAAATTATTGAGCAATGTGATGTGATGTGATTTCTCAGGGTTTTTTTTTTATTTTTCATAAGTTTGCAACCATTTAAAAAAAAAAAAAAACGTTTTACATTGTCATTATGGGTGGATCCCCTTATCCACTACCAGTGTGCAGCATCCACCTGGAATACATGACGGCAGCCATATTGCACTAGACTGCACACCACACGCCAGCTGATTGGTGCAGAGGAGAGTAATGATGCCAATTATGATATAAGAATGGTTAGGAGGCCATGATGAATAGATGCCAGAGGGCAAATTTGGCCAGGATGCCAGGAGTAGGATGCCCTACACTTTTTTAAAGGACCTGGGAATTTTAATGACCACAGAGTCAGGAATCCCTATCAATATACTGGGGCGTTAATACCCACACAGGTAGGTTGAGTGTTCCCTGCTGGCCTTACTAACATCACTTCCGGCAGCAACCTAGCTTACCATTGTGGTCTGTCTGTGCGCCTGCCCTGCTTAGCTTCAGTGGGACACCATGTGGGAGTTGCAGATAGAGCAAGCTGCTGAGCTATACCAGCTCAAAACCTGTAACAAAGCAAATAATTGTCAAATCAACTTGAAATTTGGCATACATTGTCAGTGTCAAGGTGAACTGCAAAAAAATAAAAATAAAAATAAATAAATAAATATATCAATTCTAAAAATCCGTAAATTAGCAGTTTTTCATATTTTGTGATTCATGATTTTGAATTGCATTATGGGACCTTGATCTGTCCTCCAAATACTTTTACCCTTGTAAAGTTTGAAAAAGTTTTTATTAAATTCATTAACATTTTAATAGTTTAAGTGATTATACAGTAACATATATATATATATATATATATATATATATATATATATATATATATATATATATATATATATATATATATATATATATATATATTTTTTTTTTTTTTACAGACTTATTAATCTCTGTATTATTCTGTATACATTATTTTTCTTCAAACTACTAAAATGTAAATTAAAAAAAGTCACTTTGTTAAACTGTAAAGTTTAATTTTTAACATCAAATGTTGACAAAACAAAGATCAAGGTCACATAATGCAATTCACAACTGTGAATAAAAAATGGAAACACAAAATACAGACATTGTTAATTAATCAATATATTTTACAATGTGGACTGAAGATCTTTATAAATTAAAGAAGTCAAAATAATAAATTGATAAAAAATGTGAAATTTAAATAACATTCAATGAACGTAATATTTCTTTGTTTTTAGTCTGATCACTTTACTCACAAAGACAAAAGGCAAAGAAAATTATCTTTTAAGATAACCATTAGTTAATACATTCGTACTATTTGTTTCCCTCTTTTTGACATGATATATTAAATGTAAATTAGCCTGACATGTATGTCCGACAACTAAGATAAAAAAAGTTTTATGTGTGTTGATTGTGTACATGTTGGATAGAGAAAGCGAGAGGGTGTGTGCATGTGTGAAGTTTAGGAGTGATGCACTTTTTACAACTCCACCCCTTGGGCAAAATGTGACTGCAACTACAGCATGCTGAACGATCAGCTTCATAAGAGAGAGAGAGAGAGGGAGAGAGGGAGAGAGAGAGCATTATCAGAGAGGGAGAGTTCTTTACCACGGCAGTGTCACTGCTCCTTTGAGCTTTTAGCAGTCGAGGCACCTCCTCTGGCTCGCACCACACACGCGGCAGTAACACGCTGACTGAACCTCCTCCACTTCAGCTCAAACTCCACTTCAGCGGACTACTTCAACAGGATGGCTGCTTATCTGCAATTTCAAGAGCTCAACTAAAAATTCACATTTTTCTTCCTTTAAGGCTCCAGGACAATTTCAACTCAGAATATCAGACTTGTACACTTTGTTTTTCTCCTACATCTGAGATCACAAGTGTGGAACATGACAGATTTGTTTGCGCCATAGGACTTTTGGATATGCATGTTTTTTTAGGCTGACCGAAGAAGAGATGAACATGAATTAATGCCGTGGTTCAAGATTTGGAGATGCGGTGGTATAAAATGCAAGTTGAAATCTTCTTTGCATCTCAGTCACTTCTCTGAAGACGTTTTGAGCACCTGGCTATGTCTCTTTGCTGCTGCTTGTTTTTTTGAAAAATTGCATGCCTTGAAAAGCTGCACACCATGATCTCTGAATACCTAAACATGGAAAACATGACAAACATGACAAACAACACTCAGAATGTGACACAGAATGAAGGGTTCAAGTCACTGCTATTCGTCATGGTGATCATCATCACGATTACCATTGTGGGTAACCTCCTGGTCATCATTGCTATCGCACGCACCTCACAGCTGCAGACTACGACGAATATCTTCATCATGTCGTTGGCATGTGCTGACCTCATTATGGGAGTGCTGGTGGTGCCACTGGGTGCCACAATTGTAGTAACTGGGCAATGGAAACTCAATAACACTTTCTGTGAGTTATGGACATCAGTTGATGTTTTATGCGTCACTGCCAGCATAGAGACTCTATGCATCATTGCAGTGGATCGGTATATTGCGATCACACGGCCACTGCGGCATAAAGTGCTTCTGAATAAGTGCAGAGCTCGAATTATTGTTTGCATTGTGTGGATAGTATCGGCTTGCATCTCCTTTATCCCCATAATGTACGGTTTTTGGCGTAGAGACCCTAATGATGATGTAGCAACTGCATGTTATAGTGATACAAACTGCTGTGATTTCATAACAAACATGACCTATGCCATCATTTCATCAGTGGTTTCATTCTACATCCCACTCTTCATCATGATTTTTGTATATGCACGTGTGTTTCTCATTGCCACACGACAGGTTCAGTTAATTGACAAGAACCGTCTGAGGTTCCAAAACGAGTACATGGGAAATCAGGTACAGCCACCGACCATTGGCAACAATAACTTGCCATCTATGTGTAATAACGTCGGAGGGATGACAGCAAAGAGGAAGAGTTCTCGAAGGCGACCTTCCAGATTAACTGTAATCAAGGAGCACAAGGCCCTCAAGACACTGGGCATCATCATGGGCGTCTTTACGCTGTGCTGGCTGCCTTTCTTTGTGGCGAACATCATCTACGCGTTTGTACCACAAGACAAGTACTTTTTCCGTCTCTTAAACTGGTTAGGCTATATCAATTCCGGACTCAACCCTATCATCTACTGCCGAAGCCCAGAGTTTCGTACAGCCTTCAAAAACCTTCTTGCCTGTCCATGGATTCCCTCGATAAAAATGAACTTCCTTTACAAGGAGTTTCAGATTCGCTGTCCCTGCTTCCTAGGGTCTGCAGAACCGGGAATGTCAGGATCCTTTCAGAAGCCCCCCACATCTCCAGATGCACTGCCTGAAGACGGGAGCAGCCAGAGCAGCTACAGGAGTGAGGAGCCATCACCTGGACCACCACACTCCAACGGCAGCACCTTCTTCAGTGAAATCTCTGAACCTGAGACAGAATTGTGAGTCACATTCTTTACTTCTGTGCTTTCAGGTGTAAGAATTGTTGCAAAAAACCCAAAGTGCATTTGAAATGTTTTGCAAAGAGCATTTGCTCTGCGATGAGCCTCCCATGTATATGTTTAGGTTTTTCACATGTAATGCAATGAAAAGAACATTTTCTTTGCTTGAAAAGTTAAATTACTCAGCCTACGCACAACATTAGTCATTTTAGACAAAAAAAAAAACTACAAGTCACTGAGATGCTTTTGCTTTTGAACTCTTCATATAAAGACTTTATCTGTTGATAGAATTATAGAGTTTCTTTATTACATTTATATATTAGATCTTTATTGACAAATGTCTGAAGGTTTCCCAGAATCAACATCAGGGTCAGTTTGTTCTATATCACATGTCAGGTGAATTTCAAACCTGTTGGAACCAGGTGACCTAAAGTTGTGAATGCGCTTGCGGTGACTTTTCTCATGGGGATAGAGCCCTGTGAGAAGTGCGTCAAGGTTGTGTGGGGCAGTGTTGAAGCTTTCTAGAATTACAGAGTGATTGGATGTGTACGACATTTCATGCAAAAAAAAAAATGAATGACTTGTTATGGTACTGCTTACGGTGAAATGTAAATCAGCCAGGTGAAGTTTGTGTAGGGGGAAAAAAATACAAGGCTTATGCTCATAATTGCTTGTGTTTATAGCTGGAATATACAAAAACAAGCAGACCAGTTAAACTCAGTGCAGATGAAGCTTCCTCTTGGGAGCTACAACATTTAGTGGTCATAAACAAAACTGGCATGAGGAAGGACTTTTTTTTACTCTGGATTGAACATTTTGGCATTATCTAAAAACTAATGTTGGTTAGTAGAAAGGTATTGAGGGATGGAATAGAATAAAAGAGAAACAATGTAGTGTAGAAACATGAAGCGTTTACACTTTATTTTGCACTAGCACATTTTTGATTGGACTGTTGAAATTAGCTTATTGACTGGTGTGTGTGTGTATATATATATATATATATATATATATATATATATATATATATATATATATATATATATATATATATATATATGAACTTTATAGCACAAATGTGGAACAAATTAAAACTCTTAAACTTTTATATGTCATATATCAAAATTATACATTATATTTTATTTCATAGATATGTAATGAACAGTTTGTTTGGACTGACACCTTACTACGTTCTACATTTTATTTTATTAAAACTTAAAAAATTAACTGAAAAAATAGTCATGACATGAAGTATAATAAAAGGTTAATTTATTATTCTAATACACAAATGTGACTTTTATTATTAATCTCTTATTTCATTGTAGATATAAATATTTCTACATACAAGCCAACATGCAGTTGAATTCAGAATCATTAGTTCCTCTTTGAACAGTTTTTTTTTTAAATTTATTTTGTTTTTCCCAAATGTTGTTTAACAGAGCAAGGAAATTGTCACATTATGTCTGACAATATGTTTTCTTCTGGAGAAGGTCTTATTTGTTTTATTTCAATTTAATAAAAAAAAAAAAAAAAAAAAAAAACGTTTAAGGTCAAACTTATTAGCACTTTAAGCTATATTTTTTGACAGTATATAGAACAAACCATCATTATAAAATACTTATCCTATCTGCCTAGTTGATCTAATTAACCCAGTTAAGCCTTTAAACGTCACTTTAAGCTGTAGAAGTGTCTTGAAAAATATCTAGTCTATTATTTACTGTCATAATCTCAAAGATAAAACATTTGTGTTGAAAAAAAAAAAAATTCTCTCCGTTAAACAGAAATTGGGGAAAAACATAAACAGGGGGTCTAATAATTCTGCCTTCAACTGTACATATTAATCCCACACTGGTGATGGAGACAGCAAACAACATTTTAGCATTCTTTCAATTTATAATTTATAATTCACACACACACACACACACACACACACACACACACACACACACACACACACACATATATATATATATATATATATATATATATATATATATATATATATATATATATATATATATATATATATATATATATATATATATATATATATTGGTGTGTATCATATATTTTAGTCTATACGAGTTGCAATACATAAATATTTATATTAAATATTTATATATGTGAAGTTTTATCCAGTAGTTATTTATTTAAAAGCCAAATGCCATTTGTAAATTAGTGGTGTCTATTGATACATTTTTCCAAATAAATAAATAAATAAATATTTTTGTTATTGTGCTCCGCAATAAAAATTAAACAATAAATATCTTTTTAATTATTGTGGATTTGTGCTTGCTTTGTTGATGCTGTAGGGAATTTTTTAGGAAAGACTTTTCCTAGAATGGGGTAAACACTTGACTTTCAAAGTATAGGGGTTACAGCAGCTGTTACAGGGGGTTGGATAGGCAAGCCCTGGAGACATTTCCTAGCCACAATGATGTGGAAACAATGCACACACACCCGCATTTCACTTGCAAACACCTGTGTCATGTACACTACACTCCTCAAGAGAAAGATTTTCTTCTTTTTTTGTCTTGAAAGAGCAAAAAATAGCACAGTGTCATCTTTCTCTAATTGACCAGAGTCTAGAATTTCTCTAAGCTACCAGAAATGGGTGAGATAACATATTTGTTTTGCCGACAGCTCCACTATAAATAGATGGCTCTTTTGTTGTATAGCTTTACATTAAGCCAGACAAGCCCACTGTATACAGTATGTAACAGTATTTGTCATTATGCTGGGTCAATACTTTATATTTAACAAGTGTTAAGCAAATTATTCTTTTAAAGACACAGCGTCATATGCGGTGTAAAAATGTTGAAATGCTGTTGTGGAAACCAACAGGCAGAAGCAGAGACAAAAAGGAACGACTTACAATCAAGTCATTCCGGGCGACTTCAATTTCCAAATGCTTGAAGCAGTGAGTTCAATGGTGTCAGGTAGCCCATTTAAACAAACAAATCACATTATTCAGCGTATAGCTCACCAACCTACGAGTACATTGAGTAAAATTTGATCAGCCCTGTTATGTCTGAGGCCTTTTTACGTAAACTGTGTACTTTCGTGCTCGTACACCGTGACCGGGTCTCCAGTGAGTTTTATTAAAAACGGAGCAGCTTGAACAATATGTCTTGCAAAAAATGCAATAGGACAGAATGAGCATTTTGAGTATTTTTAGGGCAGCGTGTTATGAAAGTTGCCCTTGTGGACATACAGCAATTGAAATAATGACAGATGGAAGATAATGGCAGTGTGTTTTGTTTAACGGGAAGTCAACATTTTTGCTCCTGATGGGTAGATTTTGTGTCGCTGCAGAACAAGTAAATGAAGCCACAATGATTGCTTTGTGTTTCAGTGAATGCACTGAGAAATGCTGTGAATGTATATGTGTTAACCCTCAGTGAAAACAGTCAATGGCAATTGTTTTCGTGTAAAATTAAAAATGCTTTTTTAAGCAATACAGAATTTGGCAACAAATGTATTGAACAGTTTTAGAAGATAAATATGGATTGATTGTTGTAACTTGTGGCCACCTTTAATTTGGCTTGAATGAGAAAGAAGAGGTTCTTGCAGTGTTTTTGGCAAATTTTAGGGCCCCTCTGCTGCTTCTCAAACACCCTCAGGAGCTGATAAACTTTATCACTGAAACGCAACACTTCCGCCTTTGAGAAGAAGCTGTTTACGACCTAAACAGAGCAAGAGCAGCCAATCAGCGAAGTGAATGCAAGATAGCAAGTAAACACTTGACAAGACACCTCATTTACTGCATTATTTTAAGAGGATAATTGCTGTGTTCTTTGTCAAATAAATAAATAATGAGTAACTGTCCCCTGACAAATTGCATGATAACTAATGTATATGGTACTGTCAAAAGTTTGGGGTCAGTATTTTTTTTTTTTTTTTTTTGGAAAGAAAATTATTCTGTTCATCAAGGCAGAATTTCATCACCTTGGAATTCGAAGGTTCTATCTGCGTTCTAAATAATTTTGAGATATTGAGCTTCAAAGTTTTTGCATTCCATATAGCAAACACTATATGTGAAACACTTCTCTTTCATACATTAACATGACAGTGACTTTAAATGTATTCTTAATGTAAATGATCAAAATTTTCCTAAACTTAAAGAACTCTCTCTCTTTAAAAAATAAAATAAAATAAAACAGGACAAATGCAGATAGAACCTGCTAATTCCAAAAATTCATTTTCCGCTTGGAACTATAAGGTTCTATCTGGCAGATCATTAATTGAAGCATTATTTTTCAAGAAATACAATCAGTCTGCTTATTAATTTTATAAAAAAAATAATAATAAATAAATATTGGTGTTGTAGCAATATGTTGATGTTTGAGAAAGTTACATGTTTTCTTTCTAAAACATTTATTTAATATTTTAGGATGAATATTTGTTCTTGGTCAAATTAAACCTACAAGGGTGTGCTAAATATTTTGTCCAGTGCAGATGTTAATTTTATGTAATTAATATGGTAATATTTATTGAATTATATGCTATATTTATTGAATTATAAGTATTTGCCCTTCAGAGCTTAATATCAAATTTAAAGACTTTAAAAGAAAACAGACAATGAGCAAATGAGTTGCTTAACAAAGTTTAAGAAACACTGAAAAATGTTTTACTGATTGTATATACACAAATAAAAATATATTTTAGATTTAATGTATATATTTTTTTAATAACTGTTTGTTTTCCAATAATATAAAATGTAACATTTCATCTCAATGTCAAAAAATGCTTCTAAATCATTACATTTACTCACATCTTTCAGTTTCAGGTTTCTTCTCAACTTCATAAAGAAACAATTTTGTGTTTCTTTCTGGTCTTTCCAGCTGTCAATGGCGAAATCTAGCAAAATGACAAAGAAAGTTGATCTCATGGGTGCATCTGGAATGCCAACTGGTTCACAGAAAGAACTTTATAGAGCCAAGCTAGAATTCGACCTTGTAGATAAAATCGTTTTTTTAAATAAAGTCTTAAAATGTAAACAA